TGTGATTTCAGAGTTGTATAGTATCTCATTCCAACTGTTCTTTTCAAAACGCCATCGGAGTATCTCCCAACATCCTTGATGATATTTATAGATAAGAAAAACGCTGGAGGCTGCCTCTAAACTAGTTCATTTTTGTTTTCAAGTTTCTGAATAAGACATCTAAATATATGAACTATGCCTTTCTTCATCGCCACATGGTTGTTACTGTGTTCGTGTATTCCCTTCAGCTTGGTTTACTGCACCCCCTCCCGCTCCTCGCCTTTTGGATGGCTTACAGATTATCTGTTTGAAACAATATGGGTAAGCTAAATAAGGAAAGAGACAGTAAACTGGTCGAGTGACCTTTTACATATTATATTTATGACTTACCTGTTACTCCCGTACTCCAATTAATTATGAGAATAATATTGAGTTTCAAACCAATCCGAATTGGAAATTGACCGCATTAACCTATCGATGCACCTTGCTTTGCGCTCTAAGCGATACGATTTTATTCCTGTCCTTCATAAATGTCTCTAATGTATCTTTTCCCAGAATTGTTTACAGCCGCCGCCTGAAAATTTAGACATAAACTGCGCCCATCAGTCATGGGGACTTTTGTTCACAAGTGCGTCCTGATGATCCTCCATTACTGTTCTCCTGTGATTTTTTGGAGTCAGCTGAGAGCTGACCTCAAGTTTTTAAGGCGTGACCACAAAAAGAGCAGGTCGTTTCGCTAATGCGGTTGACTTCCACACTCGTAACGAACATGGACAGGTCATACATGAATATATCTAAACGCACACAGTTGTTAAAACCAGGTGAAATTTCTCCGCACACCTATCAACATGAGATGAAGACAGAAAAACGTCACTGAAACAAAGCTTTATTAGTCGTTGGTAAAAATTCCTGGGTCAGAATTGGTGACAAATAATCTGTGGCATACCGTCGACAAGGCCCAATATTATAATGTATGACAATAGCATATTCGGACAATACTGGACATGTAGCCGTAAGCAATCCGCCTACAGCAGCATACAAACATTCTCCTTAGATTGACTCCCCAAACCGTTTCATAACTGCAAGTCTAGACACCGGGGTGAGGGGTTGTTGTTAGCATGGAGCACAGAGCTTGTCCAATGTTCCAGCAGCCGTTTCAATTCCCCAGTTATCAGTCTTTAGGTGATTCGATTCGTCGTGGTTGGGCCGATAAAAATAACTCGCTCTGTTAATCAGACTAAATAGCTTCGCACACCCGAAAAGAAATTCTACCACCTTGCAATTTCGATTCGTTTATTCCGTGTATACTTATTCTGCTTGAAGGTGTTTCCAGTAGCCATGCCAGAGTAGACGTAGGAATAAACTGAACTTTTTTCAATAAATTGCTTGGATTCGCCCCATGAGGGTGTATATTCGGCTGCTATATACGCATTGTAAAGAGTGATTCTGTGGCACAGCGTCCGACGATGTTACGGACCGTGGAGTCAAATTCTAAAAGCATCATCAGTGAATTAAGCGCGCCCATTCCAAGGGGTGGAACACTCGCCGAAGGTTGCGAGTGAACAGATCAATTTTCGATGACAGATTATTGTCAATTTCAATGGGTGATTCTGGTTACTTATAAGTAGACAAAATAGTGATGCCTCTAAATTGCCAAGAATTCATTGTTGTGACCGATAAGACGATTGTGAAAAATAGACATCAACAGAATTTTCATCAGTAGTTCAACGAAATTTATTGGCCTCATGTTATTGAAATGTGTCCGTGGAACCTCTTGAGAGACAGCTCAGCCACAGAACTCATTCAATCAATCAAAAAAGTAAATCCACGCCACACGATCGTAAATAACGAGGTACTCTGTAGTGCAATTTAGTCGTTTCGGAACACGACAAGACAGTCATGTGCTGAAATCCATTCTTCAAGCACCTTCAGCCAATGAACAAATAGAAACAACAGATCGCCATCGCAAATACCTCATGATAGACTCAA